CCGAGAAGGTGGAGCTTAACTGCAAAATCCTCATTTCTCTACGAGAAATTAAAAACATGTTTTTGAGGATCATGTTATTCAAAGAATACTATTTAGTTTTCATTCATTGGCATACTTAGGGGCGGAGCCTAATCGCAAAATCCAAAAATGTACATTTTAAATGTGTTTTAAGTTTCTAAGAATAGAGAAAAATCATCACAATTGACATGGGGTGGGTGGGCGGAGTTTATATTTCGCCAAATTTTTTCTAAGTATGCATAGTATTCTTTGAACGACACGATATTGAAACATGTTTTTAATTTCTTGTAAAGAAATAAGTATTTTACAGTTAAGCTCCGCCCCCTTGGTTCACGACAAGTAAAAAAAATTCATCACAACTGAGACAGGACGGGTGGGCGGGCTTACATTTTACATTCTTATTTTAATTGATTTTGAATTGAAATCAATTAAACCAATTAAATCAATTAATCTGTGTAGACTTCTTTTCACAACATGATACGTAAAACATAGAAATGGAAAATTTATATAAGAAAATATAGATTTTGCAATTAGGCTCCGCCTAATATTTCCTTGCAAAAATTACCATTTTAACCATGTTCTAAGTTTCTTGTTGTGAAAAGATGGCTATGAATATCAAGAAGAAAGAGGTAAAATCTAGCCCCGCCCACCCACCCGATCGCAATTGTAATGATTTTTTTTATTGGTCGTGAGCCGAGGAGGTGGAGCTTAACTGCAAAATCCTCATTTCTCTACAAGAATTTAAAAACATGTTTTTGAGAATCGTGTTATTCAAAGAATACTATTTAGTTTTCATTCATTGGCAGACTAAGGGGCGGAGCCTAATCGCAAAATCCATGTTTCCTTACAAAAATTTACCATTTTAAATGTGTTTTAAATTTCTAATAATAGAGAAAATTCATCACAATTGACATGGGGTGGGTGGGCGGGGTTTATATTTTACCTTTTTTTCATAATATGCATAGTATTCTTAGAACTACACGATACAAAAAAAATGTTTTTAATTTCTTGCAAAGAAATAAATATTTTGCAGTTAAGCTCCGCCCTCTTGGTTCACGACGAATAAAAAAATTCATCACAATTGAGACAGGGCGGGTGGGCGGGCTTACATTATACATTTTGATTTTAATATGTGTAGACTTCTTTTCACAACATGGAAAGTAAAACATAGAAATGGGAAATTTTTATAAGAAAATATCGATTTTCCAATTAGGCTCCGCCTCATATTTCCTGCAAAAATTACCATTTTAACCATGTTCTAAGTTTCTTGTTGTGAAAAGACGGCTATGTATATCAAGAAAAAAGAGGCAAAATGTAGCCCCGCCCACCCACCCGATCTCAATTGTAATGATTTTTTTCTTGGTCGTGAGCTGAGAAGGTGGAGCTTAACTGCAAAATCTTCATTTCTCTACGATAAATTAAAAACGTGTTTTTGAGAATCGTGTTATTCAAAGAATACTGTTTAGTTTTCATTCATTGGCAGATGTAGGGGCGGAGCCTAATCGCAAAATCCATGTTCCCTTACAAAAATTTACCATTTTAAATGTGTTTTAAGTTTCTAAGAATAGAGAAAAATCATCACAATTGACATGGGGTGGGTGGGGGGGGGGTTTATATTTCGCCTTTTTTTCTTAATATGCATAGTATTCTTTGAACGACACGATACTCAAAAAAAATGTTTTTAATTTCTTGTAAAGAAATAAGTATTTTGCAGTTAAGCTCCGCCCTCTTGGTTCACGACGAATAAAAAAATTCATCACAATTGAGACAGGGCGGGTGGGCGGTCTTACATTTTACATTTTTATTTTAATATGTGTAAACTTCTTTTTACAACATGGAACGTAAAACATAGAAATGGGAAATTTGTATAAGAAAATATCGATTTTCCAATTAGGCTCCGACTCGTATTTCCTCGCAAAAATAGTCATTTTAACCATGTTCTTTGTTTTTTGTTGTGAAAAGATGGCTATGAATATCAAGAATAAAGAGGCAAAATATAGCCCCGCCCACCCACCCGATCGCAATTGTAATGATTATTTTTTATTCGTCGTCAGCCAAGAAGGTGGAGCTTAACTGCAAAATCCTCATTTCTCTACATGATAACATGTTTTTGAATATCGTGTTGTTCAAAGAATACTATGCACATTAAGAAAAAAATAAAACAAAAGTGTAGGCTCCAACCATACTCGCCGCGATCTCAATTCACAATTGTGTTGAATTTTTGATTCGTTGTTAGAGCGAGGGGCGGGGCTTAATTGGAAAATCCATATGTGTCTACAACGAATGACAAATTCATAACGATTGAGATCGAGACAGATGGGTGGGGCTTCTCTTTTTGTTTTCTCTTTTAATTAATACATTTAGTTTTCTAAAGAACATATTTCATATAGTAATTTCTCGTAGAAAAATAAGGATTTTACAGTTAAGCTCCGCCTCTCGGTTTACGACGAATAAAAAAAATCATCACAATTGAGACTGGGCGGGTGGGCGGGGTTTATATTTTGCCATTTTTTCTTAATATAAATAGCCATCTTTTTCACAACAAGAAACTTAGAATATAGTTAAAATGGTACATTTTTGCAAGGAAATATGGATTTTGCAATTATGGGGCGGAGCCTAATTGCAAAATCCATATTTCCTTATACAAATATTTCATTTCAAGTTTCATGTTGTGAAAAAAAGTCTACACATATCATAATAAAGAGGCAAAATGTAAGCCCGCCCCCCCGCCCTATCTCAATAGCGTTGATTTTTTTTATTCGTGGTAAACCAAACGGGAGGGGCTTAACTACAAATTACTTATTTCTTTACAAGAAATCGAAAACATGTTTTTGAGTATCGTGTTATTCAAAGATCAAAATCATTACAATTGAGATCGGGCGGGTGGGTGGGGCTATATTTTGGCTTTTATTTCTTAAGATATGTAGACTTATTTCGGCAATAAAAGACTTAAAACATGCCCAAAATGGTAAGTTTGTATAGGGAAATATGGATTTTGCAATTAGGCTCCGCCCCTCGATCTGAATGAAAAATTGATCACGATTGAGATTGAGACGGATGGGTGGGGCTTCTGTTTTGGTTTCTTTTTAATTAATACATGTAGTTTTCTTTGCATAACACGATTACTTACGAACATATTTCACTTGGTAATTTCTCGTAGCAAAATAAGGATTTTACAATTAAGCTCCACCCATCGGGTTACGACGAAAAAAAAAATCACAACAAGAAACTAAGAACATGGTAATTTTTGCAAGGAAATATGGATTTTACAATTATGGGCGGAGCCTAATTGCAAAATCGATATTTTCTTATACAAATTTTCCATTTTTATGTTTTACGTTACATATTGTGAAAAGAAGTCTACACAGATTAAAATAAAAATATAAAATGTAAGCCCGCCCACCCACCCAGTCTCAATTGCGGTGAATTTTTTTTATTCGTCGTGAACCAAGAGGGCGGAGTTTAACTGCAAAATACTTATTTCTTTACAAGAAATTAAAATATGTTTTTGAGTACCATGTCGTTCAAGGGATACTATGCAAATTAAGAAAAGAAGGCAAAATATAAACCCCGCCCACCCACCTCATGTCATTTGTGATGATTTTTCTCTGTTCTTAGAAACTTAAAACACATTTAAAATGGTAAATTTTTGTAAGGAAATATGGATTTTGCAATTAAGCTCCACCCTTCTCGGCTCACGACGAATAAAAAAAAAATCATTACAATTGAGATTGGGAGGGTGGGCGGGGCTTATATTTTGCCTTTTTTCTTGGTATACGCAGCCGTCTTTTCAGACCAAGAAACTTAAAACATGTTCAAAATGGTAAATTCTTGTAGACAAATATAGATCTTGCAATTAAGCCCCTCCCCGCGATCTGGGAACGAATGAAAAATTCATCACAATCGAGAATTGAGAACGTGGCGAGTATGGGTGGAGTCTACTCTTTGGGTTTATTTGTTTCTGAAAATGCATAGTATTCTTTGAATAACACGACACTCAAAAACATGTTTTTTTTTAATTCTCGTGGAGAAATTAGGATTTTGCAGTTAAGCTCCGCCTTCTTGGCTGACGACGAATAAAAAAAATCATCACAATTGAGATCGGGTGGGTGGGCGGGGCTACATTCTGCCTTGTTTTCTTAATATATGTTAATTTTTATTTTAGTTGGTATGCGTAATTGGGATTTCTTTCTATTGAAATAAAAAAATATTATTATTATAAAATTTTATGCTTGAGTCGTTCGAGAAGACTAATTATACATTACATTTCGAGTATTTTTTGTCCATTTGTCATATTTATGGTCTATAATGCAAACCCATCCAGCTAGAAGTCATAATCCTTTCACCAGCAGTGAAATACGACAATTTTTATTATTCCCAGCCCGATTATTAGAAAAAGTCTAATTTTATCGCCCCAACGCAAACATTTACATTATGATCGTATTCCAGTGTCTTAATTTGATTATATTAGTCTCACAAACCGTTCAACTAAACAGACTCACCCATTACACAAAGACTAGTAATCGAACAAATATTTACTCCGGCTAAAATCTAAAATATCGCATGAATGATTCCCGCCGAATTCCGAAGATCCCGCTCTTAAGCGGTCATAAAACTCAAAATAACGCATTGATTGATTGCGTACCTTTTTCTCCGTCGAGCCTCTAAAGCTCACTTGTATTGTTACGACGCGACTCGTTTTTTACAGAAGGGTTGCTTACGGAAATTTGGAGGCGAGGCTTTAAACTGAATTTTTAGTGATCGAGTAGTTTCGTGACATGGATTCTTCCTTTGTATCCTTCAATAAGTTGATTGATGTCCTCTTTAAAAAAAGTCGTAACATCCAATCGACCCGGATGCAGCCGGGAGGAAAACACTGACGATTTCTTTTTTGGAGTAATTCGTGCCGACACAACGCTTAAATTTTTTGATTAATTCTTGTTTGGCGAAGATGGCGTATCTAATCTTATCCACGATTTCAGGTTAACGCACGCAGACTGTTGATAACACGCTACATTAGGCCGGGGACTCGTCCATCTGAGCTTCTACAGCATCATCACATTATCGAGATTCACTCACTTAAGGTTGGTATAGCTGAAGATATTTGAATTTGTTTATGAAATATCGGGGCGCCGGGGAGATATCTTCGCGTAACGGAAATAATAGCGAGATAAACAAAGTTGCCGGGCGGGCCGAAGCGGCATTTTAATTAAACATTACGAGGAATGAGTGGAGAAGATATTTAGAAAAGGGCATGCGTTTGTAAAGGGTTTAATATTCTGTACGATTATTTCGTATCAAGCTCTTAAAAAAATTACTGACGATAATGACATAGCTGGGTTAGGCAACCAACAATACACGACAATATTTTTTAACAAATTTCGAAGGTCACAAATTTGCGAACCAGCCTGTGTAAACATAATTAATAAGGGTATCACGGCAGGCTCAGTGTAATGTTGCGGTCACCTAAGGAGTTAGGAAAGTTAAACAACCTAATAAACGACAATTAACAACGTCTTTGTAGAATTTGGCTAATCAACCCCATTGTCCAAACTAGTTATAATACTGTGTCAATAAAGCTATTAATTTAAGGGATATTTACAAGTAGTTTAGGGTGAGTTGCGTGACAGGGTGAATACGAACCGACAGGGTTTCGGTATTGTTCATTCTCTTATTAACGAACACAATAAACCTGTACTTGGAAAGTTTACTTTATTTCTTGACTTACTCAGATCGATGAAATAAATACAACAATGTGAGAAATAAGAAAAGTTTTTGACATTTTTTTATTTTCCGAAAATCGTGGAAAATTTATGTAGTGTGCCAATAACTAGCGGTTCTCTCTCTCTCTAGGTTTTCGTTCTATTCCGCCGAGTCCACTTTCTCCAATTTTCCGATTTTGTGATCTTCTTTCTGTTTAAAAGTTCCTTCTTTCTCTAGTTTATCGTTTTCCAGGTTTTCTTTCTCTGCAGGAATTCGCTCTTTCTTAGAATATTCCCTTTCTCCGAGTTTTTTCTCTCCTCGTTCCCTCCCTCCAGGTTTCTATCTCTTTAAGTTTTCTATAATTCTCTGTTATCTCTCTTCTTTTTCTGGCTCTAGTTTCTCTCTCTTTCTGTTTGTAGGTTTTGTCTCTCTCGGGATTCTTTCTCTTCAAGTTTCCGCTGTCCAGATGATCTCTCTCTCCGGAGCCTCGTTTTGTTTGAATTATTTCTCTCTGTTTCTCCATTTCCCAATTTCCTGACTTGCAGATTCTCTTTCAGGGGTCGTTCTTTCTCCAGTTACTCATTTTCCTGGTTTTCTTTCTGTCTCGGAAACCGCTCTTTCGTCAAATACTCTTTTTCTGCCAGTTTTCTATCCACATGTTCTTTCCTTCCGGATTTTCTCTCTGTCTCTCTACGGTTTTGCTCTCTCTCAAAGTTCTTTCTCACTCCAGGTTCTCTCTCTCTCTCTCTCTCTCTCTCTCTCTCTCTCTCTCTCTCTCTCTCTAGGTTTTGTGTCTCGGGATTCTTTTCCTTTTCGTGTTCTAGCTGTCCAGTCTGTATTTTCCTAAATTATCTATACTTATTCCTCTGAGTCCACTTTCGCCGATTCCATACTGTCCTGATTTTCCTTCTCTATCACGCCCTTTCTCCAATTTCTCGTTTTCGTGGTTTTCTTTCTCTCTCAGGATTGGCTTTCTTCGAATATTCCCTTTCTCCGAGTTATCTATTTCTTTTGCTCTGGGTGTTTTCTCTCGCTTTCTAGGTTTTCTCACCCTCGGTATTCCTTTTGTCTCCGGGTTCTCAGTCTTCAAATAATCTCTCTCCCTTTTTCTGTTATTCCGAGTCCATTTTCTCTAATTTCTCAAATTCCTGCTTTTCCTTTTCTCTCAGGGTTCCTTCTTTTTCCTGTTTCTCGTTTCCCTGGTTACCTATCTCTCAGATTTTGCTTGTTCTTCGAATACTCTCTTTCTCTGGGCTTTCTCTCTTTCTCTCTCACACTCTACAGGCTCTCTTCTCTCTTTTTAGGTTGTCTCTCTCGTTCTAGGTTCTCTCTCTCTTTCTAGGTTTTGTCTCCCTTGGGATTCTTTTTTTTCTCGGGTTCTTGCTGTTCAGATTATCTCTTTTTTTCTGAATTATCTGTCTCTTTCTCTAAGTCCATTTTATCTCATTTCTCATTTCCTGGTATTCTTCCCCTCACGGAATTCTGCGAGTTTTCTCTCCACAGGTTCTCCCCCTGAGAGTTTTCTCTGTCTCTCTACGGTTTCTCCTTCTTTCTTTAGGTTCTCTCCAGTCTCTCTTTGCCGAAATTATCTATATTTGTTCCTTCGACTCCAGTCCCTCGGATACCTCACTTTCCTGATTTTCCTTCTTAGGGTTCACTCTTTCTCCAGTTTTTCGTTTTCGTGTTTTTTTTTCGCGCTAGGGATTTGCTCTTTCTTCAAATATTCTTCCGAGTTATCTCTTTCCGGGTTTTCCCTCTCTTCTTCTCTGGGCGTTTTCTCTCGGTCTAGGTTCTCTCTCTTTCGCTTTAGGATCTCTCCGTCTCTCGATTTTTCTCTATATCTAGGTTTTCTCTCCCGAGATTCTTTTCTCTCCAGGTTCTTACTGTTCAAATTATCTCTCTGTGTGTTGTTTTGAATGTATTTTCTCCGATTTCTCATATTCCTGATTTTCCTTCTTTCTCAGAGTTCCTTCTTTCTCCGGGTTTCTGTTTTCCTGTTTCCATTTCTCTCTCAGGATTCGCGATTTCTTTGAATACTCTCTCTCTCTCTACGATTTCTCGTTCTCAAAGTTTTCCCTCTCTTTCTCGTTTACTACGGTTTCTCTCTTTCCCTCTAAGTTTTGTCGCTCTTGGGACTCTCTTTCTTTCCGAGCTCTCGCTGTTCAGAGTCTCTCTCTCTCCGAAGTCTTCCCTTTTCTCTCTCTCTCTGCCCCTTCGAGTCCACATCTTCTGATTTCTCACTTTCCTGGGTTTCGTTCTCTCTCAGAGTTCCTTCTTACTTCGGTTCCTCGTTTTCCTGACTTTAGTTTTTCTCTCAGAATTTGCTATTTCTTCGAATACCCCCTTTTTCTGAGTTTTCCCTCTCCAGGTTCTCTCCCCCCATTTTTTGTCCCTTTCTCTCTCTCTACATTTTCTCTTTCTTAAAGTTTTCCTTCTCTTTCCCTCTGTTTACGGTTTCTTTTTCTCCTTTTTCTCCCTTTCTCTCTCTAGCTCCCACCATCTAGATTTTCTCCCTCTCTAAGTTTTGTCTTTATCGAGACACTTTTTCTCTCCGTGTTCTCGCTGTTCTGTTTTTCTCTCTCTTCGGAGTCCCTCGTTCTCTGAATTCTCTCTCTCGCAGTGTTTGTTCTTTCTCCAGATTCTTTCTCGTTTTCCCGTTTTTTTTTCTCTCTCGGGATTCTTACTTTCTTCGAATATTCCCTTTCTCCAAGATTTTTCCCTCCAAGCTCCCTTTCCAAGTTTTCTTTCATTCTTTCTCAGGTTTCTCTAATTTTTTTGTTAACTTTCTTTCACCCCAAGTTTTTTATCTTTCTTTAGGTTTTCTCTGTCGTTCTTGATTCTGTCTCTTTTTCTAAGTTTTATCTCTCTCAGGATTCTTTTTCTTTCCGGGTTTTCTCTCTTCCCCTAAATTCTCTATATTTGCTCCTCCGAGTCCACGTTCTCCAATTCCTCATTTTCCTGATTTCCTTTTTGTTTCAGGTTTCTTTCCCTCTCGGAATTCCCCCTTTCACCGAATACTCCCTTTCTGCGAGTTTTCTCTCCATAGGTTCTCCCCTTGAGAGTGTTCTCTCTCTCTCTCTCTTCGGTTTCTATATATATGGTTATTCATGGTTTTTCTTCTGTCTCAGATTTCCTTCTTTCTCCGGTTTCCCGTTTTCCTGGTTTTCTGCCTCTCTAAGTTCCTTCTCTTTCCCTCTATCTACGATTTCTCTCTCTTTCGCTGTAGGTTTTCCCTCTAGCTCTAGAGTCTCTCTCTCTCCCACCCTCTATAGATTTTCTCTATCTCCCACCCTCTAGATTTTCTCTCTCTCTAAGTTTTGTTTCTCTTGAGACACTTTTTCTCTCCGTGTTCTCGCTGTTCTGATTTTCTCTCTCTCCGGAGTCTCTCGTTCTCTGAATTATCTCTCTCTCGCAGTGTTTGTTCTTTCTCCAGCTTCTTTCTCGTTTTCACGTTTTTTCTTCTGTCTCTGGATTCCTCCTTTCTTCGAATATTCCCTTTCTCCAAGTTTTTTCTCTCCAAGTTACCTTTCCAAGTTTTCTTTCACTCTTTCTCAGGTTTCTCTAATTCTTTGTTAACTCTCTCTCACCCCAAGCTTTTTTTTCTTTCTTTAGGTTTTCTCTGTCGTTCTTGATTCTCTCTCTTTTTTTAAGTTTTATCTCTCTCGGAATTCTTTTCTTTCCGGGTTTTCGCTGTACATATTATTACTCTTGCAGGAGTCTCTCTTTCCCTAAATTATCTACATTTGCTCCTCCGAGTCCACTTTCTCCAATTCCTCATTTTCCCGATTTCCCTTTTGTCTCAGGTTTCTTTCCCTCTCGGGATTCGCTCTTTCTTAAAATATTCTCTTTCGCTGAGTTCCCTCTACCCGGATTTTCTCCCTTTCTCTTTCTCTGGGTGTTTTCTCTTGCTTTCTTTTGTTCTAGCTTTTCTCTCTTTTGGTCTAGGGGTTTTCTCTCTCCGAATTATCACTTTTCATATTATCTCTTTCTCTGTGTGTGGACTTCCGAGTCCATCTTCTCCGATTTCTCACATTCCTGGCTTTCCTTCTTTCTGTGGCTTCTCATTTTCCTGGTTTTCTTTCTGTTTCAGGTTTTTCTCTTTCTTCGAATACTTCCTATCTCTCTCTAGGTTTTCTTCTGTTTCTTTAGATTTCTTTCTCACTCTAAGTCTTCTCTCTCTCTTTCTATCTCTCTTTCTCTGAATTATCTCTGTGTGTTTCTCCAAGTTCACTATCTCCGATTTCTCATTTTCCTGGTTTTCCTGCTCTCTCGGAATTCGCCATTTCTCCGAATACTCTCTTTCTGCGAATTTTCTCTCCATAGGTTCTCTCCCTCCTAGTTCTCTCTCCCTCTCTCTCTCTACGGTTTCTCTTTCTTTCGA